TTTATTTTACTAAACGCGCTTACATGTAACGCTCAACATGTTTCGGTTTCTTTTTTGAGCCTTTTTCAGAGACAACATAAACTTACATATATAAAATGTAACAAATATTAACTTGTCATGGTGAGCTTCCCCGTATCGAGAATATAAATGCCAGAATTAAACCCAGATAAGAATGAAATAAAGAAAAAAGAAAAGAAATTTTGGAAATCTCGAAATAGAGAAAATGAAAAACTAATGTATCAGAAAATTTTGAAATTATAATTGAATATCCCGAAAGTTAAGAAGCTCACCATGGTCACAAGGCACCATGTCGCAAACATTACTATTAATAATTAAAAAACCGGTTTCTGATATATTGGCCAGTCAGTATCAGACACAGTGAATCACTTTTAGATTTAGTTGGTCTTTATTGAGATAGCAATTAGAAAACTAACGTTAAAAAGTTAATCAAATTCAAGAAAAGGAATTTTGAAAATAATTTAAAATCAATGCCTTCTTCCTGTGTACGAGCGACACTGACTGACTAGATGCGACAACAATTCGACCTTTTACAGCTTGTCGATGATCGGGAGGTAGGCCTTGGGAAGCCTCTCCATATCCGTCTGTATGTTAAATCCGTGCGTCTGTCTCCTGATGAATATCATTTCCAAAGTTAGTCTCTTCCTGTAGTGTGGTTCCTCGTCCAGTATTGTAACGTTGTCCCAATCGAAATCATGGCCCTCTTGCAACCGATGCTCCGTTATAACGTTGCGGGTAGACGTGTTCGATCGGACATGGTTCTTGTGTTCCGACTCTTGTCTTTAGTTGTCTACACATCTGTCCCACGTAACTTGCGTTACAGTCCTTACAGGAAATCTTGTAAACTACATTCAACTTTAATACTACGCGGTACGGGATCCTTCTGTATCCTAATGAATTCTCGCAATTTGTTAATGCTATAAAACGACACCCTCATATGATCGCTCTTTAATCTATTAAACTTCTCAGTAATGTCACGAACGAAAGGAACCGTGAACGATGAAGGTTGCACTACATCAATATTCTCCTTAACTACCTATTCTTCCTATTATTAGCCATAATAACGTTCTTCAATCGGTTGCTAATGTTCTCAAATATAAAGTTCAATGGATAATCATTCCCTAACAATACCTTAATTATGAAACAAAAGTTACCAAAGTGAAATTTGGGATTCGAAAGCAGAATTACTCTATCAACTAATCCCGCGACTGTACCTATTTTTTTTGCGAAACCGGGTGCTGTGACCAAAAGTTCAAATATCTACATGAAAAAGTCGGCTTGTTGTACCAGTCGAACTTTATCGTCTCATTATCCTTAACCACTACAACATCCAAAAAATTTAATCTATCACCCCCCACTTCCATAGTAAACTGAAGCCGTGGATGCTGAGAATTAAAAATCTCAAGAATGGAACTAACCGAATAATCAGGAGCCGCCATGATTATGTCATCAATATATCTATAGTAAAAGGGCAACGAGAATCTAATCGAAGACAAAGCTCTATTTTCCAACCTTCGCATAACTAAATCCGCGATGACGGGAGACAACGGGGAGCCCATAAGCGTACCATAATTCTGCTTATAAGTAACACTATCAAAAACAAAGAAAGTAGAATCCAAAACAAAATGAACCGCTTTAATGAATTCCTCTTCCGAAAAAACAGCAATTTCTAGAGATAAAACGCCAATGGTCTTTGATACAGTCCATCGCATAGTCGATGGGAACGTTAATGAAGAGGCTAACGACATCCAATGACATTAACTGGAATTCATCACTAAGCTTTTCAATATGACTATCCGCCTTAGGAATTGTTTTAATGATAATATTATGAAGAAACACTTCCAATGAATACAAGGGACTATTTATCGAAGAAATTATTATACGAAAGGGACAATGCTACTTATGTATCTCCGGAAAAGCGTAGGCCCTCGGAAGTATTTCATCATTGCATAACAAACCTCTATATGTGGATTCCGATATATACTTTTTTTCTTTCCAACCAATTAATAAGGTGCGTAAGTTCGTTACTATCCTTCTCGTCGGATCCTTTCTAATGACCTCATACATATTCTTGTCCTGAAGCATCTCATTTACCTTGGAAATATACACCTGTCTATCCAATGCTACCGTCACACTACCCTTATCCGCACGAGTAAAGACAACCCTATCATTCACATCCCTTAAAAAGGTCCTAGTGTCTTTCGCTAGTTGTAACAACCTCCTATCTATCTCCGTACGATGTAAGGGACAAGAAGCTAAGTTATTCAAAACCGGAAGTGAGTAGTTCGAGATCGCGATCCGTTCATCAATGAGTAATTTGTAAATATTACTTTCGATACATTTAATAAGGTCGATCGTTAAATCTAATCTATTGTTCAAAGGTAAGGCAAAGTTATCTCCCAATTGTAAAAAGTTCTGTACGTTGAGAGGTATGGAAACAGTTGACAGATTCAACCAGCCATTCCCTGGTGAGGAAAACGATGGAGGAGGAATCAATGGGAAAAAAGGCTGAGGATCAATCTGTATCTCTCTAACTATCCCACCAGTAGAATTCTGTACCTTAGGGTACAACGACAACCTAACACTCCCATTCGCCACTCCATCACTGCAATGGACAGCATCGATAGCGGGCACCGTCTCTTGATAATAACGAATAGGCCTAATATTTTTAATATTATTATTTAGTAGTTCTTCCCTCTGTTTTGACAATAGCCAGCAACACTTCGAATCTATTCTACTCCTTTCGCGCAAGAAAAAAAGATATGACAATTTCGCTTGTTTATTAAAGAAGGAATCGCAAATGTGAATAGGGAGATAGCGAGAAATAACACGTGCAAGTCGAAAAAGTTGTACACAAGTGAAGTCTATCCTCCTGTAAGTATCATTCAGTTCCAGTTTCAGAATGCTCACAACTCACTATTGTCTAACACGTTCAATTTTTTGAATGAGTTGTTCCTAAAAAATTCCAAATTAAAACTATGTAGCCGATGCAAGTGAGGAAAAAATAGAAAGTCACTTACATTTGCAGTTTCCTCACAATATCATTATTCATATACAAAAGTTTTTCGAAATTAAAGCAAAATAAGTCATTCACACACAAAAGTTTTTTCCGTAATTAAAGTAAAACAACTCACGATAACATCAAAATGACATTAAACTGAATCTTGATTGATCAAAAAATGACTTTTTTTTAGTAAACATTTTGGAGCCATTTTGACATCACGATGATTTTTTGTTCTGTTTAAATATGTTTTTCAATTTATTGTATATGATAGATTTTAGAAACATTTCTGTTAAAACATTTCATATGACATATTGCAGAATACTTTCAGTATTGTTGCACATTAAATGTGAAAGGTTGAAACATTTTTGAAAATTTTCCGCAACAATCGGTGCTGTATAGGTTCGTTTGGATCAATTATACTTTTAACTTTTCAACTTACTTTTTTTATTAACTTAACTTTTAATTCAATTAATTTCATTATGGATTAACTTGTATTTTAATTAAGTTAAATTTTCAAGGCTGTTAACTTTAACTTAACTTAGTTTAAAAAAATAGTTAACTTACCCAACCCTGGTATTACTGTCTATATATATTGTTGCCTACATGAATTATTGCCTATAGCTCGATTGCTTACAAGCACTTTTGAGTACAAATAAAAATTTTATAAACGAAATCACATTTACCTATGTATTATTGCCTACAGCTCGATTGCCTACAAAATTTTTGTGTACAAATATAAAATTAAGGTTAAGTTAAATAAGAAAATAATTTGTGTTTTTAAAGCAGAGAATAGTACATGGGCAATATACATGTAGGAAATCGAACTGTAGGCAAATGTGCAGATTTCGTCTCTGAAATTTTTATTTGTGCACAAAAGTGCTTGAAGACAATAATTCATGTAGGCAAATATGGCTTCGTTTCTTGAAATTTTTACTTGTGCGCAAAAGTGCATACAGGCAAAGTGCATATAGGCAATCGAGCAGTAGGTAATAACAGTGTTGGAACGTATCTAGGTAAAAATATCTAGATACAGTATTTAGATACTTTAGCTGTACCTAAGTGCATTACCTAGATCCTTATAGGCGGAGATACCTATATCCGTATCTAGTTACTTTTTGATACGGTATCTTTTAAGTTTTAGATACATAGATACAAGGTATTTATACACAAATACTGTCGCCGCCATTAAGAGTCCCTTCCTACAAGCGACACAGTATAACACAATGATCATCTCATCCTTGTTTAACATTGAACAACAAGGATATAATGGTACACTGTGCCTCATATCGTGTCATCTGTGTCGCTTGTTGAAAAGCATATTGAATCAATTCAGAAATTAGCAATCTAGTACTAGTACCTATGCGCTGATATATTAATTAAAGACCGATATTCTTATGGTTAAAACTGTTCATTAAAACTAAAAATTTATGTAATCAAGGATAAAAATTGATAATGAGTAGAATTAATTTTATGATTTATCAGTTTTGTAGATATGCATATGCATGTAAAACTAAATAATACTCGATATTTATTTAAAACTATTAATGAAACCGATTTTAATGTTATCATCTAGGTTTTGTTAAAATAAACAAACAAATGTGATATTTAATTTACGTTGCTTATTACTTCTACTTTTCCTGTTTTCCCCCATTTTTCCTTCTTTTTTTGTTGAAAGTATTTAAAAAATATCTAAATTTTCAGATACTTTTTATTTATATCTGTATCTATACCTAAGTAATTGTAAAAAAATGTATCTATACTTATATCTAAATACTTTTCCCACACAATACCTATATCTATATCTAGATACCATTCAAACGATATCTATTCCAACACTGGATAATAATTTTTGTGCGCGCAACGAACTGTCGGCAAAAGTGATGTAAGCAAACGATGCTGTAGGCAATCGATTTGTAAGCAAACGAGATCCTCCCTTTAAAATCATCTGAGAAGTAATCGACTAAAATATTTTTAACAGCTATCGCTTGAACCCTGAAGGTTTGAAATCGTTAACTATTCATGCCGGTACAAATCTGCTAAGCGAAGATGGTACTGTCTACAAAGTTAAACAAGCCATTGCTCACGAGGATTTCGATAGGGTTAGATTAGTCAATGACATCGGTTTACTTATTCTGTCGACTCCAATTAAATATACCAAATATATACAGCCCATATCACTTGCAACTACCGACATTGCTCCCAGTGGCTCTTCCTGCATCTTATCTGGATGGGGAAGAATTAAGGTAAACATCAAACAATAATTTCATGCAACAAATACAGCCTCAATTTTAATATTTAACAAATACTTTTTAAAAAGTTAGTAAAATATAAAAGTTTTGTTTAAAAATTGACATTACCTTAAATTAACCCACATAGCACACTTTAGTAAACGTCTTGGGATTATAATCCCAAGATAATTATCTTTAGAACGTAGCGGTTATCTTCAAATATCATTAGGACATCAAATATCATTAGGACATCAAATATCATTGAATACCTGTGCTATATGAAAATAATAAGAAATAATTACATTATTTTTTTATTATGATTAAACATATTTCACAATAAGTGGAAAAAATTCTTAAAATTATTTACATATGCAACAACATAAAAAGTATAAAACTCAATTAAATGAATTAATTTCAGAAATTATAATTGCGTGCCGATATGATTGTCGGACTTTCAACGCAATCAAATCTGAAAATATTAATAATCCCCCCAAAATTCCCAACTTAAAAACTGTAATAAACTTATTGCGAAAAATAATGCCTCGGCCGGGAGTCGAACCCGGATCTCTTGCATTCCGTGCGAGCGTCCTAA